TTATGCTCGCGCGTCGCGCGCTCGGCGATGTGTCTCTGTTTCTCTCGCGCGCGAGCGCACCCGAGAGATGATAATAAAAGAGCTTGCAAAAACAATAAAGTCCTCGCGTACACGGGGCCTCGAGTACAAAGAAAAGTTATATGTATAAACGCGCCTGAGCTCGAGCTGACACGATGAAAAGAGAAAAAAAAAGAAAAAAAGGTAAGAGAAAAATACGCCTAGCGTCGTGGGGTAGGTAAAAAGTTTTCCTTTTCGGAAATTCAGCCTGGCACACACGAAGCGCGCACATATACGTATGCGTGCGAGGATATATGTCTGAAGAAATACTTTTTTCACGTACATATACGACGTTGTGTAAACCGTGTATCGCACGAGTGTCACCAGGATGCGTGGCAAGGGTACGTCAAAGCAGCAAAAAAGTGTCAACGTGATTTAGAATAGAAAAATAATCAAGAGTGATCAAGATATACTTTTTTCTTCCTCCTTTTTCTGGGTGGAAAAAATTGCGCAGGAATGCGCACGCTCTATATATCGGGCTAAGAGTCACCACTATTGGGCAATAGAAGGGGAGGCGAGTAGTATAGGAAGTAGGTATAAAGAAGAATAGGCGCGAGCGAAGCGAAAATTCATAACCGTACTTTGGGGTGTTTTCGCAAAGAGCTGCTACTGCTGCTGTGGTCAATGAAATAATACGCGTGCGCGCACACCCGTATATAGCAGCTCATACATATAACACTCGGCGGCACATATAAATCACTCCCACAAGCAAGGAGTATATAATAGCCCCAAGAGAGTCTATAAAGATCATAGCCGCAGCTAGAAAATTCGCCGGGGCTGCAGTGCTAGCACAGCAGTACAGTCACCGTGCGTATAATATAATAATATAGATATCTTCGTCTATATATATATGAACAGTTTGCCTCGAGAAAATAGAGAAGTAAAAACGACCAAGTATAATACGAGCCCGAGCTATATTATATTATGCGCATGTACAGACGCGAGGAGAGCTGGTGAAGTGTAATAGAATCGATATAGAGCTACATACGAAGCTATTAAGAACTTCAAAGTCTTCGAAAAGAAGTTTGAGTTTGCTGTTAAGCACTTACACGTAGTCGGTATCATAATGCTCGAGTTAAACAAGCGTCGCGCGCACACGCATGCAGAGCAGCAGCGGGTAAAGCTAGAAAATATGCTCCTATTACGATACGTACGCATGCACACATATCATATACTATTATTATATATGTGTGGACGACAGAACCGCAGCTCCTCGTATTCCTTCGCTTTGCACAGTAGTTGTAGCAGTATGACATTTCATTAAAACCCGGCAGCGCTCGTCTCGCTATAATCACACTTTATACCTGTTTTTTTCCTTCTAAATTTTCTAACTTATAACTCGAGCGTCATTGTGAAGTTGTTGTCTCGTACGCAGCCTCGCGCGCACAAAGACACGAGCTTTGAAATAATCTTCTCTCCGAAACTGTGACTTCGAACTCCGCTATATATAATATATATAAAATATATACGTGCGCTGCGGCGTAAGATTCGCTTTATATTCCGTGGGTGTCGAGCAAAAAGCAGCACTTTAGGCGCGCCCAGGCAGGAAAGCAGGCAGGCAGGCAGGCAGTCAGGCAGCTGTCTGCATTGCTTTTACGTCACATCCATTCGATGACTACTACCACTGCTGCTGGTGCTGCTGCTGCTGTTGCACGCACATACACAGAACGACGCGCCTAAAAGCAGCCCGCTCGGGGTATAGGTTTGATAAAAAGCTCGAATCCCCATGGCAGAGGTCGCCACCTCGAGGGTTGGATGAAGTCGAGTCCTATAGGCTCGTCAGCACACACACGTATATCGCATTATGTATTTTATACTCTGCACCATGCGAGATCGAATTGATACGTAGTGAATTCAGTGGCCAAGGAATGATACGCGACATTGAGTAGTTTTAAAAGATATGAGCATTCGATGCGTCTCGTTGTATGTGTGTGTATATGTGATATAGCAGCAACACATGCGTGTTCAGACGTATTACGTGTATACAGTAGTGTGCAGCCCCTTGCATTCAAGCCCAACACCGTGTCACAAATTGGGGTGAGCGAGAGAAACTTCCAAGTGAGAGAGAGAGAAGCATTTAGATGATTATGGGATTTGCTTGTTAGCTTTTAATGCAACTGAAATATTCAGTGGAGATTTTGCCCTTAACGCCGTGTGTATAATAAATACGTAAGAGCGTTTAAAACTATGAAGCCAACGAGTGTAACGAGTATGTATATTTCGATCGTATCATACATCAATGCATACGAGAATAACCGAGAGAAATTTGCGTTAGCGTTCGATGTTTCGACGACACAATGTGTGTAACGTATGCATTTCTCGGCAAAAACTCGTTTATACTTGACGAGTGGCAAAAAGTATAGTGGTATACGTTAGTAAGTAGAGGCGACACTTGGAACACGGTGACAAGCGTCAGAGACTGTATACTAGCTGCTACTACTCGACTGGTACACACGGACACAGAAAGCTTCGCTGTACACACATCGAGTAGCAGGCGAAAAAAGAGCCGCAAGCTCGAGTCTCTCCTCGGTCGAGCTTGCCAACAACGAGCTTGCGAGAGAGAAAGAGAGAGAGAGAGAGAGAGAGAGGCAATTCCCTCTGATAAAATAAATAAACCAATGAGCGGCTAAAAACAAAGCTTACAACTATACATACATCTCGTTCATAAATCTCTTTGTGTGCGAAGCTCGAGTGAGCTCGGTTACATAGCTCGAGCTGTATATAGCTATATATACAGGGACGTACAACGTACAGGCGCTCGACGACTACCCTCCTATACGTTGAGGGGTCGCGCAGGCGTGTGCTTTTCTGCTGCTGCTGCTGCTGCTATACTGCTGCTACTGCACGACGGGGGAGGAGGAGGTGGTGGAGAAGGAGGAGGAGGCGCAAGGCACCTGTGGCAGTCGAGCACGGAGTAGGCGTACAAAGAGCCCCGCTGCTGCTGCTGCTACTACTACTACTGCTGCTGCTTGCGCGACATATACAGGGAAGCCCAATCAATAAAGCCCCTCTTATAGTACGTCTACGCGCGCGTGTGTGTGTGTAAGTGCTCGTGTGTAAAATCTATGGCTGTGCGCGTAGATTTGTGTGCACGCGTGCGAGAGAGCGAGCGAGAGAGCCGATATCGCATAGAAGCGGATTCGCATACTCTGGTTGCCTAAGCTACGCAATGAATGTACATAGTAAATTTTACCATGGAATAATGTATAGAGGCGCGCGAGCGGTGAAGCGATCGCGCACCGCAGTTACTTATATATAAGTGCCTTTATATTGTACATCGTTCGCACGCCCACACAACTCCTGTACACACACACATACATCGATCTCTATACATGTATAGTACGCTGCTGTAGCCTACGAAATTGATTGTACATTATTTGCCGGCGATGGCGATTGTGCGTTGCGTAACGTCAAAATTTCGTTCGGCTATCGATAATATAAAATCGATCGAATCTCGAAACGAACGTCGTATGTATAAGCGTCGACGACACACCGATACGATATACCTTTTTTCCTCCTCCTTTTATGTATAAAAAAGCTCGATCCGCGTATTATTATTCATACATATGTTCGGTCTTTGTCGAGGAAAAGGGAGCACAGGAGCGCGCGCGCGCGTGGCAGGATTACAACATCCTCTCCGAACCACAGCCATTTTGTATAGCCATGCTACACGGCTGCTGCATAGTAGCTTGGCTTGTATAAGCTACCTCGACGCCAATAGAGTAGCAGCGACGGGAACTCGATCGTACTTCAACCCTCTCTCGCTCTCATCTCGCGTTCGATACTATACGGAGCTTAGACGGATTACTTTTGGATTTTTCATGAGCCGGCAGCAAGTGTCGCGCGCGATCAAAGCTTTTGTCTGTGTGTATATCACGACGAGCAGCAAGTGTCGCGTTTGTATATAAAACGAAGATATAAAAGGGGTTACGTTATATGCATGGGCTAAGAGACTCCTCGTATACGTTGTAACGTGTATCGTGAACGAGGCGCAGGAGGCAGAGAGAAAGAGAGAGAGATTATGCGGTCTTTGATTTTAATTTAAATTAGTCGAGGAGAAGTCGCTCTCGCCCTGCTCTCTTACTCTGTGATTCCGAAGGATTAGAGTCGTGTGTCTTGTCTCTCTCTCTCTCTCTCTCTCCTGTTCCCTCCACGCGCACGAGTATATAAACGCGGTAAAGGACGGCCGTCCCGAAAAATTTACGATAGCAACTTTCGACCTTGGCACGCCGTGTGAAACTCTAAACTCTCATAACGAAATTCGCTCGTCGCTTATACTACAACAAAATAAGAAATACAAAAAATGCCAAGAACAAAAAAAAACATTTTCAAGTACGCGTAAATCAATTTGTCCATCATCGTTCTCTGCCTTTGCGCGCACGCGCACACACATGCGATATTCGCGCGCGCTCGCGATTTCTCATCCGACGAATTTTTCGCGCCATATATCGCTCGGACACATACTTACTGCTGTTGTAATCCCTCTTTCCGGAAGAGACTAGCACGCGTGCGCGCGCGAGACGGCTTCTTGACAGGCTCTCTGAACTTTCTCGCGCGCATACGCAGCAGCTCCAAGAGCTATAGAGTAGCTCGGTCTCGGGATTAGGCACGTCGCAACCGCATTTCTCTCCCGCGAGAGAAAATGATTTATGTGTGCTGGTGCTGCGACACACACACACACGCAAAAATATATATATGATATATATTCGTTTGTGAGACGGCCTCGATAAATCGTCTTTTTGGAGCGAGCAACTATTTTCATCGCCCTGTCGACGAGTGATTTTTTTGTAATTAAGCGAATGTTTTCAAAATATATCATGACTATAACTGTATTATCGGCCGAACGGAAGAGTTTCCAGTTTAACGAGCAGAAAAAAAATGAGAGTATTAAAGTCCCGAGCATATAAAAAAAAGCAAGAGAAAGAAGAAAGAAATTTACATACCCATAGGCGGCGAGGGTCGGATCATAGGGGTAGTAACCAGTGGCCGCTGGCTGTAGAGCCGCTGTACCCCAGGCTGCCGCTGCGCCCATATCCGCAGTCATGCCCATACTCGTCGCGTCCTTCAGTCCGTATGGATTTCCCTGGAAAGCGAATGAAAAAAAAAATTAAAATTGATTCTTTAGAACTGCTCTGTGCCACATTGTATTATGGATAAGAAAAAAAACAAGGGAGAAATTGAATCAAACGTTAAAAATTACGATCACGATTCACTTTTTATCATGCATATTGTACGTATTAACAGTAAGGAGCAAATTCGGTAGCCGAATATATATAAACACTCGGCAGAATGACGAGAGAGGTAAAGACGTCGCATTAAACGCGTATAAGTGAGGTACTTTAAAAAGCCTAGTGGCGCCATAGAGTTTCGTATTTCGGCCTCTTCTTCGCTACTTCTTAATTCCGTATAATAGCTTCTGTATATATAACGCAACTACTTATTCTCATCCTGCTCCTGCAGTATGCCCGGAAAGCTACTACTCTCGCTTTTTGCGAGCTTGGTTTTTTTCCTTCTTCCTTTTTTTCATTCGCCGCCGCTGCCGACGACGACGACGAGGAAAGATTAAGACGAGAAAAAAGGAGCCTTTGTCGCTGAGTTTTAAAAAAGAGCGAAGCTCGCGCGAGTTAGTGTATAAAGCAAGCCTAAAACAGCCGTCGCGGCAGGTGTTTAATGAATTTATGTTTTGCTTCTTTATATCTTTATGTGTCTTTTTTTGGGCTGCTGCATTCGTATACACACAAGCATATCGCGCATATTTGTATATAAAAAGTCTCGCTGCCCCCGGAGTCATCAATCTCAATTGGAGCCAAATCGAGTTAGAGTCTCCCGACCCTCGCAATTACGCGTGATTTTCTCGGGTGAAATTTACCGCACCGGCGGCAGCAAAACGCGCGCCGCACAGCCACCCAAAATTTTTTCCAAATCATCGAACTCTCATCCCCAAGGCGTGCGAGTGTATTATATATGGGACATTTCACGTCAACTCTCCCAGTGCCGCGCGGTCAAATTACTAAATTTGTGAATAGCTGTAAAAGTACTAAAATGCACCTAGAGGAAAGAACAAACCCACGATTTCGATGGGAAATCACCTCAGCTTTCCGATGGTGAGGTTAGATTTTCCGAAATTTTCCGCTTTACCCGGGAAAATCGCTGGGAAAACTTTAAAGTCGATTATCTGGAAAACTTCATTTTTAAGATTTTTTTAAATAGTCTAGATCGAAAGATCAGGAAATTTTCCATCGATATAGATATAGATGTTCGGTTAGTGGCGTCCGACCGTCCGTGCGCGCGAAAAAACCACGTTTTTTCTTCTTTCTCTCGCTATATCTCGCTAAAATCAAAAAACGCCTCTCTGGAAAAGGTCTATGTCGATGGGAAATTTCCTGATCTTTCGATCTAGACTATGTAAAAAAATCTTAAAAATGAAGTTTTCGAGATAATCGACTTTAAAGTTTTCCCAGCGATTTTTACGGGTAAAGCGGAAAATTTCGGAAAATCTGACCTCACCATCGGAAAGCTGAGGCGATTTCCCATCGAAACCATGGGTTCGTTTTTTTCTCTAGGTGCATTTTAGTACTTTTACAGCGATTCACAAATTTAGTGATTTGGCTTAATTCTGCCGCGCCGCGCGGCACTGGGAGACTTGACGTGAAATGCCACATATACGGCACATATACGCACACATATTTATATACTCTATATTGCTCGCAATAATACGTACTCGAGTGCACACATACACATACAAACACACGTATACGCATACACACACACGCACATATACGTATGTAGAGTACATCGGGCTTTTAATGGGTGAGTAGTAGCCGCGGGTGGTCCGTGGCTCACAACTATTGTTATGTACGCCTGGAAATGGCTCCGGGTTTCTCTCTCTCTCTTTCTCTCCCTCGTTTCACAATATGTGTGTCGCACAGCAGAAGAAGAAATGCAAGAAACGGAAGATAAAAAAAGAGAGAGAGGAAAAAAGCGAGAGAAGGGCGAGCAAGTGCGCATTATGCGAGTCACGTATCATACGTATTCCTGCCAGCACCGGCTATACAGTACTAGGTATATAAATGTACGTTCGTGTATTATACGTGTGTACGTATGTGTGTGTGTGTGTGTGTGCCTGTATGGGTAAGTGGCGGGTATATAAGCTCTGGTGACGGTGTTTATACATAAATATTTTTGCGAGATATAAAGCCGAATATATAAACTATTATTGCGATGTATGGCTGCTTGCCCTCGTCGAATGAATGTCGCGCGCACACAGATTCAGACAGTGAGTCGAGCAGAATGACAAGAGTCTCTACATTGGTATATAGCTTGTAAAAAATTAAAAATTACTACAGCGATTACAAGCTGCGCTCGACTTGCGAAGAATGTAGCTTCTTTGCTCTGTGCTCTCTCTCGGTTGCTTTGTTCCGAAGCGCGCAAGCTTATACGTGCCAGTTATCATTGCCAAGTCGAGGAAAACGACGACGACGTTGTTGCTACTGTCGGCCGAGACAGTTATGTTAATGTAACTAGACGTATATACGAACGTGCGAATTACATTTATCATAAAGCTAACGCGTGTCCGAGTTTTCAAGACTCTTTAACTCGTGACTTTAAACTCGCTCGATGCCATAATAATAGTACACGCGCGCAGCTCTCGGCTCTTGCACTCGTTTCGGTGGCGCAGCTGTCTCGAGGTTTTTGTACTTTTCTCCTCGTGCATATCGAAGTACGCTCGAAATTTCGAAGTGAATCAAATTAATATCACTCGTGGCATATTGAGAATTGAAAAATCGACTCCGATCGAAATAGAGCCGGGACTTTTGACAACGACTTCATAACGTACTCAACGCGGCAGCGACCTGTCCATGCTATATCTTCATCGCATACGTATACCGATTTCAGCTGGTTTTTCTCTCTTTTCAACGTGTCCTGCCGCGCATCAGCTGTGCAGTTTGCGTTCGATATACAGTACATAAAGTACGTACACCGACACATAAATATACGCTCGCACCGATAAACGATTATACGCATACACCTATATAATACAGGCAAGCGTATATACGCAGCAGCTCACGCGAAGTGGAGTCTAATTAAAAGGCGAAGAGAGGTATTGGTTTGATTAATGTCAGCTCTCAACGTTAAGCTCATGTACGTGTACCGCGTACTGCACATACATACACGCACAGACACAGACGCAGAACTGGGCGGACGATGCGCGCGATTCGTCGTCGAGATAGCAGGACTCGCGCTTACGTTCACGCATCTTTCTTTCTTTTTCGTATAATAATAATATTCTCGAGTAGGTACTGTATACAGGTACGTGTGCGCACGCATATACACCTTTTATAACATGCACACGCGGTGCAGGTGCAAATGCGCAATGTTGAAAATCGTTGCTCTTTTCTCTCTTCTCTCTCTCTCTCTCTCTCTCTCTATCTGTCGGTTGTGCACAGGCGGTAATGAGACGCGTATGTAACGTGTGCTGCTGTTGCTGCTGCACATTTATCGTATACCCATAAGGTTTTTCGAAACGTCGATTATATTTATATGTGCTTCTCTCTTATTTTTATTTGTTGTCTTCGAGAAAGAACAAAAGGTGCACGTATATAGAAACATTTTGTAATACACATACTCGGCATTCGTATTAGGAGACGCTATCGGCGTGTAATATCAAAAAGTTTTCCTCGGCAATATATGTAGAGCCACATTTTTTCGCCCCTGTCTCAGTCTCGCTCTCTCTCTCTTTCTAGCTCACTCTTGTGGGTTAGAAAGAGAAAAACTTTTATACACGCAAATTCCTTCTTTTTTTCTCTCTCTCCCTCCTGCGTCCCTCGTATACACAGATAGAAACTAGATAAAGTCTCTCGAGGTGTGTAAGTGCTACGTGTGTATACTACTTGGTACTCGCGTTATGTGTGCAGTTACGAAAGTTAAAATAAAAATACAAATATATAATGTGCAACGCAGTAGAAAAGTATATAAATATTTGTCTTTGCAAGTTGTATACGGAGTACTGCGTGCTAGGCACGCGAGTACGTTGGTACTTTTAATTTTGAAAATTAATTTAAAAATTCACTCCAACGCTGGGCTGTACACGAGCGTCTCGCTCTATTATACGTTTATGATATTTATGCGCTCGAGCGAGCTTTTACATTATAGGTATAGAGTGTGTAACGCGAAAACGACCAAAAAAAGAGACAAACGGACAAACGTCCGCAGCTCTCTCTCTTTCTCTCTCGCATTCTTGAGTCGCGCGTTGCCTTCGTTTTTCAATATATTAAGTACATCATCCTTGTGGACCACCGTGGCTGCTGCCGCTACTGCACCACTGCTGCGCTTTGGCCATTTTCATTCAATGCTAATCTGATTCTTATTATATTACAATACCCATTTATACGAATATATCGTGTGTGTGTTTGTGTGTGCGTATAAGCATGTCTCGCTTGTCGTTACACGTGATGCCCGGCGCCTTCAGCGGGCTCTTCTTATTTTCACCCATTCTTTATTTTCCATTTCCACTTTTTCTCTCTCTCTCTCTCTCTTTATTTTTTCTTTCAAACGGCTCTTAACGCTGTACATACGAGTTAACGACTGTTCACATTTTTATTAATTGGATCGAACAAACGATTGTGCTCGCGTGCGCTTTAGGAACGAGTAGAATTATATTTATGCACACTAAGGAATGAGTCGTTGCTACATTACGCGATGCCAAAGTGCACCAGGAAAAGACACGCACGCAAGAGACACAAAGGTTTTATTTCATTTTATGTCAGCTAAAGAGCTTTTCAACCATCCACGATGATCATATACTTGTTGTACATTAAATTATCAAAGTAGACATTAGCCAAGATCTTGACAGTATATCGACGCAACGCAGCGACTTGACGTTTATGAATATGTAACTAATTTTTATGCGCGACGTGTTACATTGCCGCGAGGTGTATATATTATTTAATTAAAAGGATAATGCACACTTCGTGTCGCTCGCTCCTGAAAATCCACGCGCATAAACGTCACTTTTGCGGGGCTTTATTATTTTATTATTGTCATTACATTGTTCTTGTTGTTGTTATTATTATTATTATACGC